TCTGAGGATCCTTAATGTCTCGGGAAACAGGCTAAACGCTCTCCCTGAAAGCATAGCTCGATGCAGGTATTAGGGTGTTTTTTTTCCCACTCTTGTGCTGGTTTTATTCTCCACTTACTGTTCTTGGGTGAAATACACAAAGCGTCCAAGATAAAAGGTTCTACCTCGTTTGATAATGCTAAAGTGCCTCCTTGACTTAAAGAAACTCTTGTTCTAGGTTGAAGAACAAAGTTTCCATAGTCAATAATATCGTTTCTTTTGGATTGTTATTGAAAGAATTTGGGTTCTATTGCATCTACATAACAACAAGTATATGGAAAATTTTTGTTGTACATATAGGAAGGTGAGGTTCATGAAAACTTTCTACATCTGGAATTTGATTTTGATAACAGATTCAAGTTTGGGTGTTTTGATCTTACATACAAGACCAAATCCAAATCTCAATCCCATTGTCAAAATTTTGAAGACCGAATAAATGTTCAATTATAGTCAATTACAAAAGTTTCTGAACTCTTGAGGGAAATTAATTCGAAGTTTGTATTTCACGAGATTGAAATATTGCCTTGGCTAATGTTGGCACTTTGTGATGGCGGCATGGTCCTCCAAATATTTGCTGAAGTTCATGTGTCCTCTATATATTGGGACTTGGTGATGGGGGTATGATCCTCCAAATATTTGAATAAACTTGGGTGAAAATTGGGCATATTCGTGTCCTACAATCATCCCTGAATTTTAGTATCATAGGTCACGGCCGATGCATGAAGGCATAACTTATTCGAGAAATAGTGTTTCAATGAAAAAAATCCAATGGTTGCAATTTCTGATATTGTTAAGAAATATCCTTCCAATAGGGGAGAGAGGGCTAATAGATTAACTTTATTCACAGTCAAAGGGGTTCAGTTAGGATTTTCAAACGAGAGTTGATTTGTGACCTTTCTTATTTATATAGAGGGTGCCAGCTTTTATTTATTTCCTCAAGTTCGTTCCGTCTTGTCTGAATTATAAATTCATCTTTCCTTTGCAGCTCACTGCTTGAGTTGAATGCAAGCTTTAACAACTTGTTGTTTCTTCCAACTAACATTGGATATGGTCTCCTGAATCTTGAAAAGCTGTCAATCCATCTAAATAAGATCCGCTTCCTGCCATCATCAATCTGTGAAATGAGGTCCTTGAGGTACCTGGATGCTCATTTTAATGAGCTTCATGGCTTGCCGCAAGCCATTGGGAGACTGACGAAGCTTGAAGTCCTGAACCTGAGTGGTAACTTCAATGACTTCGCAGAAGTTCCTGATACGATTGCTGATCTGACAAATCTCAGGGAACTTGATCTTAGCAACAACCAAATCCGGACTCTACCTTACACATTCGGCCGCCTTGGGAGCTTAGTGAAGCTGAATTTGGACCAGAATCCTCTTATAGTGCCTCCAACTGAGATAGCGAACAAGGGGGCTGATGCTGTGAAAGAATTCATGTCGAAAAAATGGCTGGAAATAATCACAGAGGAGCAAAGGAGAATCAATGTTGAAGCCAGTAATCAGCAAGGTCAGACGGGATGGTTGGCATGGGGAAGTTCATTGGTGAGCAACATTGTCTCTGGCGTGGGAGGATACCTAAGCGGGCCAAAGACTCCAAGTGATCCATATCTGGATCAGCAACTGTGATCGCTTGGTTCTGGATATGCCTTATGTCTAGTTTTGAGAGCTCAGTGTCTCCAAATAAGAGTAGGCTTTGAAACTACCAGATTCGTGTATATAGATATATATATATATGCTGTAATGATGAGGATACCTCGGACACACAAAACACAATATACATACATACGTGGGAGGTGAATGGACGCTATGTGATTTGTGTACAGTGGCGTCGAAACTGTCTTTGGATTTGGCTCCTTCAAATTGAATGCTTGTATATTTACCTTCGTTTCGATGTTTTTAAATTTTTGGAATATTGGTTAGTATAGGTCAATTATGAGCGCTCTTATACACAAAAATTAGTCTTTCTAACTTTTGCTTCTTTGTGAACTCGTTTTGGAGTAAATTTAATATATAACTTCAGAAAATATTATTATTGCGATTTTGAATTGTTTGAGTTATGATTTTGATTTTTTCTAATATTGTTAGGTTTGTTTATAATTTTTTTAATCATTAAAAATGTAGACATATTCTACACATGTAGTTGCTCAAACTTATAATCTCAAGAAAGAATAACACTCCCATTAAAGTCACTTTAACAATTCATAAATTTAAAATGTTATTATATATATAATAGTATAACTTTATATTTGTCAAATATAATACATGTTATTAACTTGGCTTAATGGTTAAGTAAAATTAATCTAACAATAAATATAATCAATAAACAAACAAAATAATGTGGTAGTGTCAAATTATCTATTTTTACACATAATATATAGTATTACATTGTTTATGTATATATGATACTGTAACATCAACACTTTGAACATATTAAATTTTTTACTTCAACAGTTAATGTTGATGGTTAATCAATTAATGTTCTTATTCAATTAATTAACATTGTAATATATCAAAATAAATTATATATTTAATCATTCAACTATTCACGCAAATTCATTTTCACTCAACTATCTTATTTAAAAATCATATCTAAAGAAAAGACAAGTCCCTTTAATGGTGTTCTCTAGTCGTCTCGGCCCTCCCTTCGTGGATGGGTGGCAAGGCTATTGGCGGCCTTATCTTTACGCCGATGCAGGTTCTGTTGTATGTTTCCCTCATTGGTTTATTCCTTCTCACATATTTCTTCCTCTCGTTTCATGTTTCTCCGCTAGTCTATTTTGCAGCGCTTTCTTTCTTCTTGTGTTGTTTTGATGGGTGAGTCTTGGCCTCCCCAAATCGGTTGACTCCTTCCGCTTCTTGGTTTTTGGGGTTGTTCGACTTTCTCCTGATCGGTATGGACTCTCCGGTGCAGTTACGCTCGGTCTTTTCCGATGCAGTTATCATACAGTTTATTTCTTGGTTTTGGTGGTTACTCCTACATGGGTCACGTTTTCGTACTTTACTGTAACTGCCTTCCACGTGCTTCTTTCTCATAACTGGGTTCCTCTCTCTCTCTTAAGACTGTATATAATTGACTATTATATGCTATTCTGATTATTTTCTGGGATTGTTTCACTACCTGGCTATTCTCTCACCTTCCACCTACCTACCGTTGGTCTCCGTTGCTCATGGCTTACGAAGTTCATACCCTTCTTGCTAATCTCCACTTCATCGAGGATGAGGTTGGTGATATTCTGCCTGTGGGTTCTTCTTCCATTCAATCTGCTGTGCCCTCGGATTTTATGTTTGGCTGGTGGTTTATATGCACCATCTCCTGTTGAAACGGATACTGTTATTAGTGTAATCCGAAGTATTTGGGAATCGTCTCGGGTGATTGATATCACTATGCTTAGTGAAACCCATTTTCTGATTCAGTTTGTATCTTCTGAAGCTCGTCAATCCATACTTGATCGCTCTCCCTGGTCCTTCAACGGTGATCTTTTTGCGCTTATCCTCTATGATGCTGAGTGCAGCTTGCATGACTGACTTTTCTCACTTGTCTATGGGACGCATTGTTGGTGTGTTTCTTGGTACATCGTTGGCGGTTGATCTTCGTCCAGGCGCTGGACGCTTGGAATCTTATCTCCGTGTTCGGGTTCTTATTGATATTTCAAAACCGCTTCGACGTTGTCTTGCTATCGGTCGTCGCCCGTCTGGTCAACCTCGTCTATGTCTTTTAAAATATGAACGTCTGCCTCATTTCTGTTTTAAGTGTGGCTTACTCTTTTTCCTCCGTCTAGGATTAGGGAGGATTTTTTTAATGATGGTTTTGAGGTGGTGTACTTTATTACATTTTTTAATACAAAATATTATTTAAAAAAAGGTGTGGCTTACTCGGTCATGTTGAAGCTCCTTGCTCTCAAGGTAACACAACTTCTAGGCAATGACAAATTCAGAAATTTAAAAATAGGAGTCCAAAATAAATATTATAATATTTATTAATAAAAAAAATTACATAATTAAAAATCCAAAATAACAATTCATTCAAAAAGCTCAAAAAATTATTAAACACTAGAAACAATTACAATTGATCTCGACGAGCTTTCATTCTTTGAAATCGTTTCATGATTTTTTCATCATCGATTTGGACAAGAACATCTCTTTCTATATAAGTGATCAAACAATCATTTAGAAATTGATCACCTATGCTATTTCGCAACTTATTCTTCACGATGTTCATTTTAGAAAATGTTCTTTCCATACTTGCGGTTGCTACGGGGAGAATCAATACCAACTTTATAAGCAAATAGACTTGTTGGTACACTTGATGCTTCTTTGGCTCGACAAGCTTCATGGAAAGTTCACCCATATCTTTTAATACCCAAAATCTATCATCCCTCCGCAGATCAACAATATAATTATCAAGTTGATCATCAAGGGCTAGTCTATCAACATTTGTAAATTCATCGGGATATAATTCAGCAAGTCTAAGTATCTTTTGTTTGTCAAAAGAAGAAAATTTATCAAGTGGACTCAAAGAAGCCATACAAGTCAATAACTCTATACTAACCTCATCAAATCGGTTGTTTAACTCTTGACGTTGAAGATCAATAACTCCCAAGAACACTTCAATTCGAAAATGATGAATATTAGTAGTATCCAAACGACAACGTTTCTTTCTTCCCGGAGGAGTATACACAACATCCATATTAAGAATATCAATGTCATTCTTGTTACAAAATGAAGTGATTGTAGCAAAAAAAGACTCTCACTCGTTTTCCCTAATATTTTACAATCTTTCTTTAGTTAAAGTAACAAGTGACATAGCATTGACAATATCTTGATCTTTTCTTTGTAAAGCTTTGTTTAATTCATTCATAATCCCAAATATTCTCTTCATCAAGTGAATCATGAAAATGAAATCAAATGACTCTATTGCAAAACTCACATTATCGGCTTGTTTTCCAGTCATAACCAACCAAATATTCATTCATAACCAAGCTCGTGGTTTAAACCTTTTCCAGTCACAATTTCACCATTTTCAAAGGCTTTTGCAATTTTTTCAGCTTGTTTTCCTTTAAGCAAATCTTTTTGCCTACATGATGATCCAACAACATTCAACAAATCTCTAAGTGTATTAAAAAGCCAACCACAATCTTTATTTTTCTTAGAAACGGCAATGAGAGTTAATTGAAGTTGGTGACCAAAACAATGTATGTAGTATGCAGATTGTGTTTCTCTCAAGATTAGCGTTTTGAGACCATTAAGTTCACCCTTCATATTACTAGCTCCATCGTACCCTTTCCCATGAATTCTTCAAAAACTCAAAGAATTCTCATCAAACAAAGAAAATATTTATCCTTTAAGAGACAAAGATGTGGTATCTCCAACATGAACAATTCCAAGAAATCGTTCCTTTATCATTCCTTTTTTATCAACATAACGGACACACAAAGCCATTTTTCTTTTTGAGACACATCACTTGACTCATCTACTAGTATTCCAAAATAATCCTTACCAAGATCTTCCACAATTACCTTGGTAGTTTCTTTTGCACAACAATTGATAAGCTCTTTTTGAATCAAAGGTGCAATCATTTGATTATTTTTAGGTGCATTTTTCAAAACAACATTTCCCACATCATCATTCTTTTCCGCAATCCAATTCAAAAGTTCAAGAAAATTTCCATTGTTACTTAATTCATCACATTCATCATGACCACGAAATGTCAATCCTTGATGTAAAAGAAATCTCAAACAATGAAGATAAGTAGTCAAGCGGATTCGGTAGTCACTTTTAGCTTGCTCAGTTTGTTGGTCTAAAGAAACTTTCAAGGATGACTTAAAGTTCTTTAAATTCTCAAACTTTTGAATAGCTTGATTATGAGCACTATTAATTCCACCAACATGTTTTCTAAACCGAACTGGCCTATTCCAACCTCTAAACCCATTAACAAAAAATGCATCTCCTCCTGCAGCTTTGGTAGTTTCATTCTTAAACAAGTAACAAACAAAGCAAAATGCAGCATCTTTTGAAACACTATACTCAAGCCAAGAATACTTATTAAACCAAGATTTATTAAAGCGACGTAATGTACCTCCTCCAAAGTCCGTTTGAGGAAATTTGTGCTTCTTTGGTTGACAAGCACCTCTTTATATGTATTCTTTCCTCACTGTTTCTCGATCCATTGGATGATAATCAATAATTTTTTTCTTTTAGTCGGATCATGTGGAATAGAGATATCATTAACTTGGTTTTCCATCTCTCTTGATGCAAATGTTGTACTATCATCTTGTGTAATACATGTAGATCTCATTTCGGTTTCTTGAATTTGGGGAATATTATTTGAAGGGAAAGAAAATTCTTGTTCGACTTGAGTTGCTGAAGGTTGAGTCGGTGATGAGACACAAATTGGCACTTGGGAAGAACTTGCATCATTCTTTTTGGACTTTTGAACAAACCAATCAAGCGTTCCATTCTTCTTCTTTCGTTGATCTTTTCATCATTCATCTTCTTACTATTACAATTTCAAAATTTACAAATCACAATAATTATTTATTATAATTCACAATTAGTAATTATATTTATTATCAAAGAAGTAAGATCTTAATTACTAATTAAATAATTTTAATGGATTCAACTTAAAAATTAAAATATCTAAATTGTTTCTACTTAAATTACACAAATTTAGTATACCATTTTTTTCTCCTTCCAAAAAATACATATTATTAATTTTACATATCACAATTTAACGTTCACATATTTTTCATAAAATCACTAAAATATATTAAATTGATTCAAAATTTAATTTTATCTCTTAATTTTAACTCACTCAAATTAAAAAAATAAATTTCAAAACTTAAAAACTCAAATATAAATTTAACTAAATTTAAGAGGGTAAAAGAATGAGTGAAGAACCTAACTATCTGAGGAAAATAAATGAGCAACAACTTACCGGCGACTTGGTTGAGGAAGCTCACCGGTGAACGGCATCGTGGGCTCGTGGCGAGTGGTTTAGGCACAAACAAAAGACTGAGAAATGAGAATTAGGTAGTAGTGGGGTTGGAGTATGTGGTTTGAATGCAAAACAAAAGCCTTAGTATTAGTAATAGTTGAAATGAAAGGTTTTTAAATTATATATATTATTTTAATCAATAATGTTTTAATTGAAAATATGGAATAGATTGACAGTTTCTTACTCACTCACGAGCATAAATTTCAACTACAAAATAAAGTGTGCAGAAAGGAGCACAAATTTTAACTACAAAACAAACAAAGTGTGCAAAAAAGTAAAAAAAAAAGTTGTGCAGAATTTTAAGTTTTAATATAGTATATTAAGTGTTGGTATTTTTTAAGGAAAATGGGTATGTAACTGCTACCTCGTGGGCCACATAGGTCCGCCCCTGCTTCTAGGGTTGCTTCTCAATTTGGGGACTGGTGTAACACCCCCAACCCGTATCCGACCCGAATCTGAGTCCGAAGTGTCACATTGACTTTTCAAAACCTTTACTTGTATAAAATAGTGAGTAATTTAAAATTTATTATTATATATAACTTATTCAAAACCTTAACCGAACTATTCAGAGCTTATACAATATATTATTTTGAATACATGTCAACTAGAACTTTATGTATTAAAATACATATTATTCACCTTTCTTCTGATATGGCCTTTGGTAAGGAGAACTGACATTTCTTGCTCCACATTGCTCTTTACTCTTCTCACTTCGGTAACCTACGTGTGAAACAATCACACGCTAAGTCTATGACTTAGTGAGGCAATAAACATAAAATATAAACTATAGCTTGTAATCATGCGTGAACAATTACTACTATCACTCATACCCTTATTCATGTAACAAATCCCTATAACACATAGACAATATATCATTACATATAAGTACATATAAACACATATATTCATCACTCATCATGTTCATCATTAACCTTATTTCATTATCAATATTATTATCGTTTATATCACTTAATACATATCCTCTTATACCTAGCATTTTAACCAACATTTGACTCATTTAATCATACAATCCACATATCATCATATAAATCATATAATACCATTCACAGCACAAAAGCATACAAGTCACATGTAATATATTTGTTGTTTTTTCTTTATTAGCCCATGTACACATGTGAGAACTATAGATATGTGAGTCTATAGAGGTTGTGCACTAATGTTGTCACCACAGCTCGTATAAATGCACCGAAGTGCCACATAGAATTGCACCGTAGTGCCGCGTAGAAATGCACCGAATTGCCGCGTAGAAATGCACTGAAGTGCCATATAAGGTTGTCCCTAAGGACCACGTAGAAAATTCCTTAAAAATCATATACATATGCCAAGGATCAAGTATGTGTCTCAAAAGACCTCACACATGTTCCAAAGAATACATATATGTCCCGAAGGACCTCGTAGACCCTCGACTCTTGGCTTGCTAACTATACCCTATCTCTCATGACACATAACATGGGCATCATCATTTATGTCATTTCACATTTTCACATAAACATGTAGTTCACTTTCACATAGCACGTAGATTATGTCACTTAAGTTGAATCACATATACGTATAAACACGTAAATCACTTTCACATATCACATAGCTCATATCCACTTTTCATACTATTTCACATTTATTGTCACATTGTTTATATCTTATTTTTATGTCTTATTATATATATATATATATATATATATATATATATTCACCTGTTTATATAATCCATCATTCAACCCATATATCATAATTTTATTTAAGCATATGTATCTTTCCCATCTAGCTCATCTTATATGTTCCTATTATCACTTATGTTCAAGTCTCCTATTTGATCAATTATTCTCATATCATCATATAGGTCAATATTATCTATCTTGTTTCAATTCTCATTCAATGATATAATTCTATTTTACTATTTCACATAAATGTTCATACCACTATCACTTGCCCAACTCACATTCTTATTATTTATATAACCTTTACATTTGATTACTTCATTTCTATCATTTCTTCTAAACTCGCTTTTTACCATATTCCCATATTATTACCTAATTTATCCCATATCATGTATTCGCGTAGTCTTATATTCCATTTCTATATATATCTCAAAGATCTTATCACATAACTTCTCTTTTATATTCATATATTTTTTTATCATATCATATAGTTTATATCATCATAACATAGTAAATATTCACATCAACCATAAAATACATATACAATAATATGTCAACACATACCATAACATATAACTCATACACTCATAACAAACACATGTTCATGTTCATACTTCATGCACAATACTATAGAAAATAAACTTGTCACAAGTCGTATTTCCTATTAAACATCATATATAAAATAATACGCACTCATCTTGGCCTCACTAAGTTCTAATCCAGTTTTATAATTTCCTCTCTTGCGATCGAATCATAACTTGATAATCGTTCCGGGACTTGTTCGTGCTCGATATCTATATAATCATTCATTGATACATATTAGTATCCAATTGATATACACTAATCTATCATTTCTTAGACCAAAAGAAAAGTATAATTCTATTTCCCTTGAAGTGCATCGATGCACTACCCATGCATCAATACACAAATCACCTTCGATGTTTTCATTTTAAGGGGTTGCATCGATGCACTCCTTATGCATCGATGCACTCCTTATGCATCGATGCACTAATTACATTCGATGTTTCCATTTTTAATGGGTGCATCGATGCACTTCCTGTGCATCGATACACACTGAACAATTTCTGGAAATTTACCCTTGATGCCCATAATTCCAATTTATGCCCGAAAATCCACTCTTTTCAGCTTAATTACTTCATATATCATCCCATTTCTTATTCTTAACTTACATACTCATATTCAAACTCATTTCTATTCATTAATCACCTTTCTAACATCAAAATCCTATTCTCCATATGTAATTCAAGATTTATACTAAATTTTCAACATATTCCAAATCTACTTCTAGCACTTCATATTCCTTAATTTAACCATTGAAAAGTCAAATTCAACTTCAAAATCTATTAACTCATTCTATTTCACTAATTCACTTAAAAACTATTCATATTTAATCCTTCATAACTCATCCATTTTGAAGTTTCAACATACTTTAATCTCTAAATAATCTTTCTTAGCACCCCAAGAATCAAAACTAAGCTTAAAACTCAAGAATTAACCAACTGAAATTAAACTTACCTTTGCCATGGAGCTTACGGGAAGATAAGAGGAATGAGATAACCCAAGCTCCAGACTTTTCTTTTCTTCTCACCCTTTCCACATGTTTTATAACCTTAAAAGAAAGATAAAAATCTTTCTGGTCAAATGATCATTTTACCCTTTATTTCCTTTAATAATTACTAATAACCTTCATCATATTTCTAATAAATCATTGAACTATTCAATTATACTACTTTAATCACCAATTTCTGAAACTTTATAATTTAGTCACTAACCTGGTATTGAGGATGTTACAACTAGCATCGGGTCTCTCCTCTTCCTGGTACTGGCATTCCCATGCGGCCACGATCGGGGATTATTTACCTGACATCTGCTTCAAGCTTGGAATCTATGAGAATGCATCTTGAGTTTCCTCCTGTTATTCCTGACTTGCCAGCTTCGACCACCGGTCCGACCAAGCCACCACCGTCTACTCCCCTAATTCCCGGTAGAATTATTGGTCCTCGATCCAAATGAGGTCGTCTTTGTAAGCGCTCTGTTTCGCTTGTCATTTCAGAGCCTCATGTTCATTCTCCCAAGAAGGCTCGGTCGACTTCTGTTATGCCTACTATTACTGTTTAGCACACGGATGGCCAAACTTCTACTGCTTTGGTTTCGGGCATTATGAAAATCATAAGTTAGAACTGCCGTGGGCTTGGGAACACACGGATAAATCAGGCATTAGAGCAACTTATTGCTCCCAAGGACACTGATATGATATTTCTCTACGAAACTCATCTTCAACGCCCTCGAGTTGATTCATTGTAAAGACGATATGTTTTTGTATAAATAGTAGTCACTTTTGTACATGGCTTTTAATGTTTTGGCGTTCTACTATTTCTGTTTAGATTTTTAACTTTTTCGGACTTGCATATTGATGTCTTGATGACCGACGACAATCAACATTTTTTATTTTTAGGAATTCATGGGTATAGTGATCGTCGACGACATCATGATACTCGGTCTTTACTTGATCGACTCCGTCAACAATCCACAGTACCATGGGTCGTGGGGTGATTTCAATGAAATCCTGAATAACTCTGAAAATGTTGGTGGTCGGCAACGTGTTCGAGCTGATATATTGGCTTTTCTGAAGGCTCTTCGTCACAATGATCTTTGGTACCATCGCCTTTTTCGGGGCTGGTTTACATGGCATAAAGGCTTTTCTTCTTATAGACATCAGTTTTTTCTCCATTTTATTTATTATTATTATTATTATTATTATTATTTATTCTATTATTATTATTATTATTATAATTAAAATAATAATAATATATTATTATTATTATTATTATTACAGGCCCAAACTAGAACCTAATTACAAATGGGTACCCAAAAGCCCAAACCAGAACCCGACCCAGTTACATAACCCAAAAACCCAAACCGACCCAAATATATAACCCTAAACTTATTTAGAGTTTGTATCTCATCCCCAGCCGCCATCAATCATCCACCGTTGGATCTGATGAGATCCAACGATCCACATAAACGCCAGAAGGAACCCTAAGGTTATGATACCCTAGGGACTACGTTGGTCGTCGCCGCTCCACGTCTCAGCCAACTACCGTTCCACTCCCAACCATTTCAACAGAAATCAAAGAAGATCGTCCACATTATGGCCTTAGAGTGAGTCACCGCTTTAGGTTTGGTGACTCACCGAATGAGGCTCTATTATCTGGTCTGAAGCAAGCACCGTGGTGGCCTATAAAGCCACCTCCGAATCTGCAAAATAAAATATAGAGAAGAAGCCAGAGAACCAACAACAACCAAAACCACCAAATATCATAACCAAAAAAATAGAGAAAGACTTACCGAGGAAGCTGCTTTGCTACCGAAGTCTCCACGCGCTCATAAGCGCCACCGTCGAAGTCGAAATACCGAAGGTATTTCTTTAGATCTGCAAAAATCCATGGCTTTTTAGGATAAACAGGGGTCGGATTTGGGTTTAGATTGCTCGGATCTATCATTTGGGGAATTTTGTGTTTTCCAGCCACTGACGGCGGTGTCAATGGCAGCGTGTGGCTGCCGACCGGTGAACGGATTCCCTCCGATGAGGGAATCTGTTGAAAACATTTTGATGTTTCAATATAACAAATTAAGTTTAAATGAATTTTAAGATTTTACAAATGATTTTCTAAGTATATTAGATTTAATTAATCGAATATCAAATTATTACTCCAAGTCTTTCAAATTCAAATTCAAACCTTACTAAATGTGTAAAATTGTGTTTTATACTTAATATATTTTTGAAACAATTTTCACAAAGTATTTTGAACCAAAATCAAGCCTAAAATCAATTTTTCAGAGTGATGCACCGATGTACCAATCCATGCATCGATGCACCATGAATTAAATTGAACATCGAATGCATTTTATGCATCGATGCACATACCATGCATCGATGCACTGAGGATTTTATGAAAACATCGAATGCATTTGATGCATCGATGCACCAGCCATGCATCGATGCACTCTGGCTATTTTGAAACATCGAATGCACTTGATGCATCGATGCACTCTTAGTGCACCGATGCACTGAGAGTCCAACGGTCAAAATATTTGAATTTTACACTGATGCACCGATGTACCTAGGGTATACATCGATGCACTGACGCTCCCAACTGCTTTAATTAATTGTTTTCACACTTAAACGGCTCTATTGACTCCACTAATCATCCCCAACATTCAGAATCATTTGAAGGTGTATTTAAACAAGCTTAGAAGCCATTGATCAAAAACAAGAAAGAAGAAATCATAGAGAAACAAGAGAGAAAGAATCAAACATCAAGATTGTGCAAATCAAGCCAAATTTCCTTTCAATATTCATTTTGCTTTCAAGAACACAATTTGTGCTCAATTGTAATTATCTTTGAGTGTTCTTATCTTGTTCTAGAATTGTGCAAATATATTGCCTTGTGAGGTTTTCCTTGTAAGTTTGCGAATTTGTGTATTTCTCTTTGAAAAAGAGTGTGCTCAAGAATTGGGGTATAATTCTTGAGGGAGTTGTAAGGTTACTCTTTGTCCTCAAAAGAAAAAACAAATTAGTGAATTTGTTGGAAAATCCTTAGTGTAGATAGCTAAGGTAATGGACGTAGACTTTGGTTGAGAAAGTCGAACCACTCTAAATCGTTGTGCAAATCTTTTCAATTTTATGCAAAAATGAATACCTAAGGGGACTAGGATTTTGGAAACTAATGAATATGGACCCAAAAGAATTTGGGTACCAAAAATTAGAAATTAATCTTTGTTTGTAGGAAAAAGAGCATTGCTACAGGGCACGGGAAACAAATTCAAACTCATGGTACCTTGATAGTGGATGCTCAAGACACATGACAGGGGACAAAAGCCGTTTCATAGAGCTTAACGCCAAAAATGGAGGAGAAGTGACTTTTGGTGATAATTCAAAAGGTCACATTGAATGCATAGGTACAATAGGTAATACCTCTTCCATACAAATTAAGAATGTTTTATATGTGAATGGATTAAAGCATAATCTTTTGAGCATTAGTCAATTATGTGATAAGGGATTCAATCTCATGTTTGAAACTAATGGTTGTAAAGTCATTGACATTGCATCTAATTGAATTATGCTTATTGGTCATAGAATAGGAAACATTTACATGGTGCATTTAGACTCTATTGATATGACTAATTTATGCCTAGTTTCTAAGGATGAGCATGATAGTTGGTTATAGCATAGAAGACTATGACATGCTAGTATGAGTGTTTTGCAACGACTAATTCAAGGAAATTTAGTTCGAGGCTTGCCTAAGCTTAAATTTGATAATGATAAAATATGTGATGCTTGTGCTAAAGGAAAACATAAGCGAGTTTCTTTTAAATCCATTAACGATGTATCAACTAGTATAGTATTACAATTGATCCATATAGATCTTTTTGGGCCAGCTAGGACTACTAGCTTGGGTGGAAAACAATATGCATTTGTCTTGGTAGATGACTATTCTAGATATACTTGGGTTCTATTCTTAAGTACTAAAGATGAAGCATTAGAAAAATTCATCACGTTTTCAAAAGTAATCCAAAACGAAAAAGGTTACTCTATAACTAGTGTTAGGAGTGATCATGGAACTGAATTTGAAAATCTTGGATTTACTGAGTTTTGTAATTCTAATGGTATTAGCCATAATTTTTCAGCACAAGAAATTGCTAGAACCATGCTTTGTGAAAACAATTTGCCAAAATGTTTTTGGGCAGAAGCCACAAATACCGCTTGTTATGTTATTAATCGAGTAATGATTAGGCCTATTTTGAAGAAAACTCCATATGAACTTTTTAAAAATAAAAAGCCTAACATTAGCTATTTTCATCCTTTTGGATGTAAATATCTTGGCAAATTTGATGCTAAAATTGATGAAGGAATTTTTCTGGGTTATTCCTTAAATTCTAAAGCTTATCGAGTATTTAATAAAAGAACTTTAGTTGTAGAAGAGTCTATACATGTTGTTTTCGATGATAATCTCCTTCCGAGGAAGGATTCTTGTGTGAATGATGATGTAGGCATTATAAATACAAATGACGTTAGATAACCATCATCAAAGGAAGAAACAAAAGATGAGGAAACTCGTGATCCTCTCGAGAATCCAACCATTGAAGAAAGGAAAATATCTTACCCAAGAGAGTACAACTATGTGGATGGTGAAATCATAGGTGATCCATCCAAAGGGGTAACAACTCGATATTCTCTTAGAAATATTTGTAATTATGTTGCATTTATCTCATGCATAGAGCCTAAGAATATTAAAGAAGCATTAAATGATGAACATTGGATTATGGCTATGCAAGAAGAGTTAAATCAATTTGAGAGAAAAAAAGTATGGACATTAGTTGAAAGGCCTAGTAATAAATCTACTGTAGGTACTAGATGGGTATTTAGGAAAAAACTTGATGAGAGTGGTAATATAGTGAGAAATAAGGCTAGACTTGTTGCTCAAGGGTATACTCAAGAAGAATGCATAGACTATGATGAAACATACGCTCCCGTATCTAGGATGGAAGCAATTAGAATGTTATTAGCATTTGCATGTTTTCATGAATTTAAATTATATCAAATGGATGTTAAAAGTGCGTTTTTAAATGGTTTTATAAAGGAGAAATAAGGTTGACACTACATTGTTTTTAAAACATAAAGGTAAAGATTTATTAGTAGTTCAAATTTATGTTGATGATATAATATTTGGTTCTACTAATGATGTTCTTTGCCAAGAATTTTCTAAGCTAATGCAAAGTGAATTCGAGATGAGCATGACGGGGGAGCTCTCATTTTTCTTGGGACTCCAAATCAAGCAAAGAAAAGATATCATCTTCATCAATCAAGCTAAGTACGTCAAAGATATGCTCAAGAAGTTTGGACTGGAAAATGGGAAACCTCATGACACTCCAATGAGCTCATCAACAAAGCTTGACATAGATGAAGGATGTAAATGTGTGGATGTTAAATTACATAGGTCAATGATTGGTTCTTTGCTTTATCTAACTCCAAGTAGACCAGACA